GCAAGTTGAACTTCTTTAATACCGTCGTCAATAGGTCGAGGGAGGAGGAATGCTGTGCAACTGATAACAATATACAGAAGAATGCCGTCTTCAATCGTATTTTTGTTTGTTAACATTTGAAGACAAAAAAAAAACGATAGGAAATTTGGAACGAAATTTTAAGCTTGTGAAGGATACTGTTTCCTTTTGCTCTTTTTTTAACAATGAAAAATGAAATCACTTGTTTTATTTGGATAATGAGAGAAGAAAATTAACAAAAAAGCCAAACAAAATTAAAAGACTTGGGTGAAATTGGAGATCTAAAAAGCCATTATACAATACGGATAAGTAAAGATTTGTCAGTGAACCGAATTAATGCGGATACACGCATTGTTCAGTGTTTTCATACAACTATGGCGACATATCTGTGATCGATGGGTGGCAAATGGACGAACGAACGGGTGTTGAAGATGGAAGGATGAAGTGGCAGGCATTAGCAGCAAAAGCAGCTGTTATTTTTGGTGTCATTGGCCAATAGGGTCAATAAACTATACATAATCGTCTCTGCTACGCTTGTACAATGGTTATACGTTGGGTACTGGTTTAAAAAGCTTTCACTGTGTACTCATATATAAAATATTTGTATATTACATGTTACGTATTTCTATAGATAATTAGATAGTGTTAAGAGACAGAGGTGGAGAAAGAGCGAGAAAGGAAAGGACGAAAAGGAACACGAAAAGGAAACAAATGCTTATATTCTGTTGCTGATGGGAGTCTGCATCGATAACTGTTGCTGCTGTAGGTTTGGTGACAAATATCAAGCCAACAGCTCTTGTCAATAATGGTAATTTTGGTGGTGTCAGCACAAATAATAGTATTGTAGGTAAACGTTAACTGATAGTATCATCAGAATTGTCGGATACAACCATCACCGTTATCGTTGATAACAGTGAAGAGGGGCAGCAAAATATACAGCATTCAGCATGATCTTTAATTTTAATTTTTTTTTCTTTGCTTTTTATGCTTGTTTTTGAATGTGTGAGTATTTATGTTTTCGGTTTTATTCTGCTCAAATTTTCCTTTTTTTATTCTTGTTTAACTTTACTGATATTATAAGGAGTAACTGCTTTAGGCAGTTAATAGTGTTAGCAGTTTTGTTATGATTACTTTTTTAGTAGACTGATGGAGAAGGATTGGAAAAAAAAAATGGAAAGCATTATTCTTGAACATTTTCCTCATTTTTTGTACTTCGCAGTCGTTATTTGAGTACTTCAATTTTTTTTTTTTTGTGGTTAGAAGGAGGTTTGGTTTGGCAAAGTGGCGACGATTAAATTTGTTTCATTTTTTTTTTTTTTT